TTATATTGATACTTGTTCCATCTGGTGAGAAAGTAAGTTTATCAGGACCATCTGAAATAATAACAATCAGTTAAACATGTTATAGTTTGATCTCTACCTTCTATTATATTGATACTTGTTACATCTGGTGAGAAAGTAAGTTTATCAGGACCATCTGAAATAATAACAATCAGTTAAACATGTTATAGTTTGATCTCTACCTTCTATTATATTGATACTTGTTACATCTGGTGAGAAAGTAAGTTTATCAGGACCATCTGAAATAATAACAGTAAGTTAAACATGTTATAGTTTGATCTCTACCTTCTGTTATATTGATACTTGTTACATCTGGTGAGAAAGTAAGTTTATCAGGACCATCTGAAATAATAACAATCAGTTAAACATGTTATAGTTTGATCTCTACCTTCTGTTATATTGATACTTGTTACATCTGGTGAGAAAGTAAGTTTATCAGGACCATCTGAAATAATAACAGTAAGTTAAACATGTTATAGTTTGATCTCTACCTTCTATTATATTGATACTTGTTACATCTGGTGAGAAAGTAAGTTCATCTGGACCATCTGAAATAATAACAATCAGTTAAACATGTTATAGTTTGATCTCTACCTTCTATTATATTGATACTTGTTATATCTGGTGAGAAAGTAAGTTTATCAGGACCATCTGAAATAATAACAATCAGTTAAACATGTTATAGTTTGATCTCTACCTTCTATTATTTTGATACTTGTTACATCTGGTGAGAAAGTAAGTTTATCAGGACCATCTGAAATAATAACAATCAGTTAAACATGTTATAGTTTGATCTCTACCTTCTATTATTTTGATACTTGTTACATCTGGTGAGAAAGTAAGTTTATCAGGACCATCTGAAATAATAACAATCGATAAAAAGCATTACAAAAACATTTTTATACTTACAGTAAATCTGAACATTAAGTTGTTTTGTAAGTTGTTTATTTAATACAGTATGTCTAACTGTACAGGTATAAGAACCAGTTTGATTTCTAGTACTAAGTGATAAAGGGTTATTTAGAATTGTTGTTGAACCATCTTTAGACCAGGTGATGTTACAATCTGGTTTACAATCAGCTATACAGTTGACATTCTGACTCTTTCCTTCTATAACATCTATATTATCACTAGTAGGGTTAAATATTATATTCTCTGGACCATCTGAAAATAGTTAACAAAATATTAACACATCAGCCTGAATAAGTTACATTTATACAAATCAAAGTAAGTAAGACTTTCCATGGTAGGAATTTCATAGGAAATGACTGACAGACGTAGGTGATGCCAATATAAAAATCAGACATTCCATAATATTGACAATGTTTCTTTTCCTAGTATAAAATCTGTGATCCTTAAAGAATATTTTTAAATGTAATGATTTTCAATGTTTTGTTTTCATTTAATACAATATTATCTTAGCCTTTCTTATATGAATTTCTTGTACCTCTTTATCTAAGTAATAAGCTTATATGTTTGAACAAATTAGTGCAGGGTATCGTTCCACAAAAAATCTTATGAGAGGTTTTAATCCTAGTTTGGTCATTCCACAAAAAATATTAACTAACATTTACGATAAAATTCATTTGTAACCTTACGACAGGTGTAATGTTGACGTAGAGTGAAAATAATATCCATCATGGATGGGCTTATAAAAGAACGAAAACATGGAAAGTCAAAAATGAGTGCACGTAACCCGATAAAACCAATGGAAGCCTTATTGGCAATCTGTGGTGATGCAAATAAAAAAAAAGGAATACAAGATTTTTTGAGATTCAAACAGACAAGTAGTAGAAAAATACAGATTGCCGAAACATCTTATAACTTATATCATTGATCTCATCAAAGATGATATATAACTACGCCTACATCAAGAAGTCGTGTGATTTCGTTTTGTGATTATAATTCATTAATATTACTGATTAACATTATAAAGGAATCTTTGACGTGAGTGGCAAAATCATTGATGGAGTAACTCAGTGAAAAAGTGACAAATGAGGTAGAATTGACTGTGACCTGATGCCACCATAGAACAGTGTGGGAAAAAGTCAAACGAGTTTTCAAAATAATAGTACTTTTAAAAAGATAGCTTGCGTTGCAAGGTAACATACGCCCACTGGCAGCTGTCAGAAATGATAACACAGTCTTTAGTGATTAAAGTATGAATTTTCTCATATTGAAGAAATTTTTATTAGTTTGAATTCAATGATATACATATTTACTGACAGTTATTCATGTGGAGTAATTCCAACAAGTTTTTTCAAATCAATATCAATAACCCAAATACATCAAATTATTAAATCACACAGCTCTAATATCGTTGAAAATTCAAACTTGACCAAGATCTCATCAATAAAAATAAAAGACTTGAAACTCCCCATTCATTTCATTCATCAATATAAAACATCACACAACATTTCATAAAAATCACATGAAATCTGTCATCTCCATTGTGCTTGAACAAATTTTGGAGCATTTTATCTACGTCAAGGGCTATAACTCAAAAACCTCTCATCAAAAAAATCATCAAATTTGAATTTGACCAAGATTTTATCAATATGAATGATCACACCAAATTTTATTAAATCAGTTGAAAACAACTCTCTATTGTACTCACTGCAATATTTTAAGTCAAAGGCAATAAATAACTCAAAAACCTCTCATTGAAAAATCATCAAGTACGAACTTGTCCGAGATATCATCCATATAAATGATCACACCAAATTATATAGAAATCAGTTGAAAACTGTAGTCTCTATCGTGTTCACAAACAAATTTTTGAGGCGTTTTTCCTAAGTCAAGGGCAATAACTCAAAAACCGTTCATCGAAAAATCGTAAAACTCGAACTTGACCAAGATCTCATCATTATACATTATCACATCAAGTTTCACTAAAATTAGCTAAAAACTGTAGTTTCTATTGTTGACAAACCAACAGACCGACGGACAGAGGCGACAGAAATATATGTGCGCATTTCAATCCAACTGATCAATACATAATTATGCAGCACTCGTACTTAACCTATACTTTGACTAATATGAACTTGAGTCAAACTTTAAGTATACACTGCTCTTACTTTATGTAAGTCATGCTTAACATTTATCTTTACTTTCAGCTGTGGTAAAGTTACCTCAGTAGGTGACTTTATCACTCTAAACTTTATTTAGATAAATAACACTGTTTTATAGACCAACAAGCAGTTACTCACAGAATTGTTCAAGATCACTCTAATGTAAATGATAAAATATTAACAACAGCGTATTTAGGCGTTAATTTTTGGGAAATGCACAGCCCCAACACCAAACGCCCTTTGCTAAGTTTGACTACCTCTGTGTATGTACGGAAACCCAACAATAACACAAACAATGAATGCTTAACAATTTCACTTCAAATAAATGTTATCAATGGAAAAAATTGATTGATACATTTTTAAGGTAAAATTTTGCGTTTCCTTGTCAACTGTCATGAGTGCTTTCTTTTTGTTGGTTTTCATCTGCTAGCATTTCTATCTCCAATTCGTATCATGCAATTTGTACAGTCAACTGTCCCAATTGGAAAGAACCACTAGCAAACCACAATGCCGACATACCAATAATTGAGGTAATGGCGGGATAAGAACTTTGTTCACACAGAAAATTGATTTAATCATTTAAAAAATGTAGATCACCACCCTTCTGAAGTCTCAAGCGTTTTATAAATTCACTCTCGTCTAGATCTTCAAAGGGATTGGAGCGGTCTTTAAATCTCCTCTTCAGGTGGTAAATATCTGTAATTTGGTGTTATTGGTTGAAATAGTCCTCCTTTGTTACAATTTCAATCACAAACATTTATAAAGTACGGCTAAAGTCTGCTACCACCCTATCTTAGACTTTACTTTAGATTTGTTCAAAAAACGCTCGTGTGAAGTATGACTTACATCTAAGATCAAGCGCAGCATACCTATATAGTCTGATTTAAGCTCGACTTTGATTAAAGTACAGCTAAAGTTTGAGCGCAGGATACAGCCATTTAAATTTTATGTCTATTCTAAGAAGCAGTATATTAAAAAAATCATTTCAAACATAATTAGTTCTCATTATTTGTTTTGAATCTGCACATAAAAGAAGAATTTCAACACTTACCACTTTTCTGGTTCTGTCGTCTGCTAAAGAGAACTCGTTCTGCGTATGTCTTTTACCGTGAGAATTACTTACGATTTCTTTTAATCTTTAGTCTAAATCCTAATCTTATGACTTTTTTGTGAAAAATTGTAATTGTAAACTTACGATAGCCGTAAATTCATGCTGTAAGCGAAAACTTTCGAAGTTTTGTGAAATGATACCCAGATGTTTCATTTTCATTGGGTAACTTAACTCAAGAACTCATTCTCTAGTTTGAATATGAAAGAGATTAATAAGAGGTTTTTAAATTTTGTGTGTGTATCGGGGACACTAATAGGATCAAACTGCACCATTCCAATTTTAAATCAGACATCTGTGGTTCCTAAAACTGTGTGTTTGATGACATCATTAATCGCAAAATATCACACAACACTTCTGTTTTCCTGTACATAAAAAGACAGGTTCATAAAAGAGATATGAACTCGTAGCAAAGGTTAATAACTATACAAATTTATAGGTCATGTATTCATGTATATGGCATTCTTTGAAGTTGGTGACTCAGTTATAATTGAAGGTAAAGGGCATGAAATTGTTCCATCATAATTTTGATTATATATTTCAATCACATGATTGTTTTTACCACGATCTATTTTGTCAAAGGAGTAAAAAGGCTGACCTATATGGAAGGCGGAATGGCTTTTTATTCGATGTTCTTCATTGGTATTTCTTAATTCCTAATTCTTTTCTTTTAATTAGCACGCTAAATTCAACATTTGTCATTGAAAATTTGTATACAAAAATCATGATTTGTACTGAAAATGAACATTCTTCGACAAACATTCAGTTTTCCAAATATTGCATTAATAGTATTCTTGCAAAAATATCCCCAAATACAAATCTACAAATACAAATCTAGCTCAATATATCTTCAAATGCAAAATGTCAAACACAAATCTCAACTAGCAAATGTTCAAATACAAATGTTTAATAAAAAATCTCACTCAACAAATCTTGCGAAACATTTCACCAAATACATGTCAAATATATTTGAAGGTCATGATTATGACAACACCTGTCGCTGTACAACCATCATAAAAAAGATATAGACTATAGATAGATCTTTAAAAGCCTGTCCTTTTATAGTATTAACAAGGCAAATGTTAATAGCCATCAAATATTCATAGGCTTAGTCTTTAAAAATATTCGGATGTCGTCAAAACAGTTGAAGACAGAAATAGAATAGCCGCTGTGCTAACAACTAAAGTGAGAAAAATAAATGAAATCGCCATTGTGCGAAAGAAGTATAAAGCCTGGATGCAAGCATATGAAGATTTTCTTCTTACGCAAGAAGCTTATCAAAGATCTATGGTTTCAACAGAAGAAGATGAAGATCGAGAAATTCATAAGAAAATATTTCTTGATTTCAAGGGAAAAATGGAACAATGGTTTTTACAGAAAGAAACAATTAAAGAAAAGAAAAAAGAAAAATTGAAGATGATAGACCAATGCAACTAAAAGATCCCGAAGGAGTGAATCTTCAATCTCCTCTTCACTAGCTAAAACTAAATTAAAGAAAGCCGGATTAAATGCCAAAGCTGAATTGCTGAAGAAAGAAACAAGCATTAGAACAAGCTAAGTTCCAGTTGAAAATGCAAGAAGAACAATATGAAATTGAAGAAGCATTGGCTATTGCTGATGCCGAAGAAGAGGTATTAAAAAATTTAGAAATAGAAAATAACATAGATGATAATAATGATAACAATACCCACACACTCCAGGGTAATAAAGACCAAAATACTTACCTACCACAAGGTAATAGTGATAACAATACTTACCTGTCACCATATAATAAACACAGAGCTGAGATTCCTGAAAGAAGTCGTACTAGACGAGAAGATATTGATAGATACATAGACGTACAATCTTCATCAGGTAATAGTCAGAAATCTACAGAAGAAGTTTTGATGAAGATGGTTCAAGAATTAAAACGACCTCCTTCTGAGATAAAGAAATTTGATGGTTCTGGCACTGACTTTAAAAGATTCATGAGTCAATTCCAAACCAAAGTTATTACTAACACTGATAATGAAGATGATCGCATGAATTATTTATATTTAGATCAGTACACTACTGGAAAAGCTAATACAATAGTAATTGGATACAGTCATCTGGATGCAGTTAAAGGTTATCCAGCAGCTGTAAAAGAATTGAATAGACGGTATGGTGACCCAATAGTGAACGCTCATAAATATATAAAGAAGGCTGTAGAGTGGACTGAAATTAAGTCTAACGATGCTAAAGGTTTGGACGAATATGGTGTCTATTTAGCTGAAGTTTTGTATGCAGTAGAAGATATAAAGGGATTGGAAATATCAGGATACTCACATAACTTGCAGAAGATTGTTTCTAATTTACCATACGACATTCAGAAGAAATGGCAAGAGAAATTCCAGCAGCTTATTGAACAAAACACTCTTGCCACATTAGAACATCTTGTAGAACTGGTACGAAAAGAAGCTATTAAGCTAAATGATCCAGTATTTGGGCGTGATGCACTTGCAGCCATAAAGCAATCCTCACATACAGACACCAAGAAGAAAGATACTAGAAGTAGTTATAATGCCAGTTATGCTACAGTTTCAGATGATAAAGAAAAGCACAGTGAAACCACTACCAGTGACCTTAAAGAAAAGAAGATAGAAATCACTACAAGTAAAAGCTGTCTATTTTATAAAAAAGAAGGACATATGATATCAACATGCTATAAATTCAAGTCAATGATAACAGAAGAGAAAATAGACTTTCTGAAACAAAATGGTATATGTTTTGGTTGCTTAAAGCATGGACATATGAAAATGAATTGCAAAAGGCAACATGCACTAAATGCAATAAGAGCCATCCAGATGTTTTACATATGGAAAAAGAGGTTAAAAATCCAAGGGAAGTAACTACAAAAAAGGAGATTACATCTCAGGTTTCATTGCATGAAGAACCTACCTCTCTTATGGGAGCCGGAGCTGATGGTCAATGTACGTTGGCTGTTGTACCAGTTAATATCAAGATGAAGAATAGTAATACCAGAACATCTACGTATGCTTTCCAAGATCTAGGAAGCACAGTTTGTTTCTGTACAGAAAATTTAATGAGACAAATTAGGGTAACTGGTCGAAGAAAAAGAATTAGTTTCCACAATGGGTGTTCCTCATATAATGGATACCTATATGATAGAAGGATTAGAGATTAGTGGTTTAACTATATATATAAATATATACAGTTACCTACTGTTTACACAAAGGACAGTATACCTGTGGAACATCGCCATATACCACAGCAAGCTGACATAGACAGTTATCCTCACCTTAATTCTATACATCTACCAAAGTTAGAAACTGAAATTGGTTTGCTGATTGGCAACTGTGTTCCGGACGCATATACTCCGTTGGAGAGTGCTATTGGTCCTCCTGGTACACCTTATGCCACAAAAGCACGGCTTGGATGGACAATATGGGGTCTAATAAGACCTGAAGATTCATTGAAATTGTATAGCAACTTTATTGACAGAAGAAAAGATTTTGAAGCTGTAGACTATATAGATAACCTAAAAAAGTTAGAAAAAGATTTCCAAAGATATGTCGGGCTTGACTTTCCTGAAAGGACGATTGATGAAACCAAAGAGTTATCAATTCAAGAAAGAAATTTTAAAGATTTTGTACAAAGTGTACTGTCCTATCAGGAAGGGCAGTATTCCATCGACCTACCATTTAGAAATCCTGTTCATCTGCTTAGTAATGAAGAAATGGTAAAGAAGAGGCTCCATAGCACAAAGAAGAAATTGGTTTCAAATCAACAATTTTATGAAGACTATTACAAGTTTATGAACCACATAATTAGTGAAGGATATGCTGAAATTGTATCTGAAGAGAAACCATCCTAGAAAATGAGACAAACTTCGAGTAGTGTTTGATTGCCCTGCTAAATTTGAAGGCATATCACTCAACGACTTACTTAGGCAAGGTCCTAATGTGACAAACAACTTAATTGGAGTCCTACTTAGGAGAACATTGCAATTATGGCAGATATTAAGTCCATGTTTTACAGAGTAAAGGTTCCAGAAAAGGACAGAGACTTTTTAAGATTTTACTGGTGGACAGAAGGTGTGATGACGAAAGAACCTTCAGTTTACCGAATGACGGTACACCTATTTGGAGCTATATCATCTCCTACATGTGCCAATATAGCATTACACCAAACTGCTAAAGATAATGAAGAAGATTATAATCCAGAAGTCATAGAAACAATATACAAGTATTTTTATGTCGATGATTGTCTCAAATCTGTCAACACTACAGAGAAAGCAGTCAGAATGATTAATGACTTGACTGAACTTTGCAGTAAAGAAGGCTTCAAGCTCACCAAATGGATGTCTAATGATAGACAAGTTATACAAACTGTACCCTCTACAGAAAAAGGTTTTGGCAGATCTAGATTCAGATTATGAGAATATACCAACTGAGCACACTCTTGGTGTTCTTTGGAGTCCAGAAGAAGATGTATTTGGATTCAAGATAAATTCAGAAGAGAAGCTAGCAACTAGAAGGGGTATACTGTCATCGGTGTGCTCCATATTTGATCCGTTGGGTTTAGCATCTCCCTATGTCCTGCCTGCAAAGATACTGTTACAAGAACTTTGTAGTAGAGGTTTAAAATGGGATGAAGAGATTCATGAAGAAGATTTGAACACATGGAACAGCTGGCTAGAACATTTATCAGAATTAAAATACCTTACAGTACCAAGATGCTTTAAACCGAACAATTTCGGTAAGATTAAAGAACAACAGATACACCACTTCAGTGATGCCAGCAATAAAGGATACAGGGTTTTATCATACATCAGAATTATAAATGAAGAAGGAAAAATCTATTAGCACCCCTCCAAAAGAAGACCATACCCAAAATGGAACTCAACGCAGCAACCATAGCCGTCAAATTACATCATAAAATTACTCAAGAACTAGATGTCAAATGGGACAACATGTACTTTCGGACGGATAGCCAAACAGTTCTGCCCTATATTGCAAACCAGAGAAGCCGTTTTAATACATTTGTTGCAAATAGACTGACGGTTATACATGAAGGGTCAAACGTCTCTCAATGGAACTACATTAGAACACAGATGAATCCAAGTGACAAATGTTCAAGAGGATTATTGCTGATAGAAGTCACTTTAAGCAATGGGTACAAGGTCCAGAATTCTTATTCACACCTGAGTCAGTGTGGGAAAAGATAGATATAGACACATCAGTATCAGCATATGATCCAGAAGTAAAGCTGGTAGTAAATGTTATTACAGATCCTGAATCACGGATAGAATACTTGATACAAAAAATATCATCATGGACGAAATTGAAAAGAATAATGGGATACATATTTCTTTTCATTAGCAAGTTGAAGAAAACAGATACTTCAAAAGCAGAAGTTAAAGATCACTCAGAGCAATTGCTTATTCAGCATGAACAACGAAAACATTTTCCTAATGAATTCAACAGTCTGGAGAAGAATGAAAATGTGAAGAAGAGCAGTAAGCTTATAAAACTGGATCCATATTTACAGAAGGGAGTAATAGCAGTAGGAGGAAGACTTGAAAGAGCTGACATACCTCAGAGTACCAAACATCCGGCAGTCTTACCGAGGGAATCATCAATTACAGCACTGATACACAGAAAACTTCGTCATCTTGGTAAAAACTCCATGTTAGCCAAATTAAGAGAGAAGTATTGGGTGTTGCAGGCTGTTACTGTGATAAAACAATTAGTGAATAAATGTGTTACATGCAGGAAATACCAAGCAAAGACTGGATACCAGAAAATGGCTGATCTTCCTGTGAAACGTCTTGCTGTAAATGCACCAACATTTAGCCAGGAATAGATTATTTCGGACCCATAGACATTAAAAGAGGACGCACAATAGTAAAAAGATATGGAGTCGTCTTTACTTGCTTATCAATCCGTGCGATACATTTGGAAGTGGCGCATTCACTTGACACGGATTCTTGTGTGCCGTCAGAAGATTTCTGTGTAGAAGAGGAAACGTTAAATCCATATTGACAGATAATGGTACCAATTTTGTTGCCGCGTCAAAAGAGTTATCAGACATTGATTGGACATTTAACCCTCCCTCTAGATCACATTTCGGGGGTACATGGGAGTGGCAGATAAAGACAATCAGGAAGATTATGTTTTCACTATTGAAAGAACAAGTGAAAAACCTGAATGATGAAAATCTTCAGACACTTTTCTGTGAAATTGAACATATTGAGAACAGTCGACCAATATCGTGAAACTCAGATGATCCAAATGATTTGGAAGCGATCACACCAAATCATCTGTTACACCTTAACAACAAAGACAATGTTCCAATTGGTATATTTACCA